TAACATAACATAATAAAATAAAATAAGAACAAAAAAAGTCGCAAATCAATCAATGTGAATACATTAATAATAGGAGAGAAAAGAACCATATGGTAGTCTCAATTGTTGCAGAAGAAGCATTTGACAAAATACAGCATCCTTTCCTGATTAAAACTCTTCAGAGTATAGGAATGGAGGGAACATTCCTCAATTTCTTAAAATCCATCTATGAAAAACCCACAGCAAATACCATTCTCAATGGGGAAAAGCTGAGAGCATTTCCCTTAAGATCAGGAACATGACAAGGATGCCCACTCTCACCACTATTGTTCAACATAGTACTAGAAGTCCTAGCAACAACAATCAGACAACAAAAAGAAATAAAAGGTATTCAAATTGGCAAAGAAGAAGTCAAACTCTCTTTGCAGATGATATGATACTTTATGTGGAAAACCCAAAAGACTCCACCCCCATATTACTAGAACTCATACAGCAATTCAGTAATGTGGCAGGATACAAAGTCAGTGCAGAGAAATCAGTTGCTTTCTTATATACTAAGAATGCAACTGTAGAAAGAGAAATTAGAGAATCGATTCCATTTACAATAGCACCAAAAACCATAAGATACCTTGGAATAAACCTAACCAAAGAGGTAAAGGATCTATACTCTAGGAACTATAGAACACATGAAAGAAAGTGAAGAAGACACAAAAAGATGGAAAAACATTCCATGCTCGTGGATTGGAATAATAAACATTGTTAAAATGTCTATGCTGCCCAGAGCAATCTACACTTTCAATGCCACTGGCATTTTTCAAAATGCTGGGAAAAAAATCCTAAAATTTGTGTGGAATCAGAAAAGATCCTGAATTGCCAAGGAAACGTTGAAAAAGAAAAACAAAGCTGGGGGTATCAAGTTGCTTGATTACAAACTATATTACAAAGCTGTGATCAGCTAGACAGAATGGTACTGGCATAAAAACAAGACACATAGACCAATGGAACAAAATAGAGAGCCCCAATATGGACCCTCAACTCAGTGGTCAAATAATCTTTGACAAAGCAGGAAAAAATAAGCAATGGAAAAAAGACAGTCTCTTCAATAAATGGTTCTGGGAAAATTGGACAACTACATGCAGAAGAATGAAACTCAACCAATTTCTTACATCATACACTCAAAATGGATGAAAGACCTCATTGTGAGATAGGAATCCATCAAAATCCTACAGGAGAACATAGGCAGTAACCTCTTTGACATCGGCCACAGCAACTTTTATCAAGACACGTCTCCTGCGGTGCCTGGGTGGCTCAGTGGTTAAGCGTCTGCCTTCAGCTAAGGTCATGATCCCAGGGTCCTGGGATTGAGCCCCATTGGGCTCCTTGCTCTCCCGTGGGAAGCCTGCTTCTCCTTCTCCCACTCCCCCTGCTTTTGTTCCCTCTCTTGCTGTCTCTCTCTCCATCAAATAAATAAATAAAATCTTTAAAAAAAAAAAAAAGACATCTCCAAAGGCAAGGGAAACAAAAGCAAAAATGAACTTTTGGGACTTCATCAAGATAAAAAGCTTCTGTACAGCAAAGGAAACAGTGAACAAAAGAAAGAGGCAACCCACAGAATGGGAGAAGATATTTGCAAAGGACACTACAGACAAAGGGCTGATATCCAAGATCTATAAAGAACTTCTCAAACTCAACACCCAAAACTCAAATAATCCAGTCAAAAAATCGGCAGAAGATATGAACAGACATTCTCAAAAGAAGACATACAAATGGCTAACAGACACATGAAAAAATGTTCATCATCATTAGCCATCAGGGAAATTCAAATCACAACCACACTGAGACCCCACCTTACACCAGTTAGAATGGCAAAAATTGACAAGGCAAGAAACAACAAATGTTGGAGAGGTTGTGGACAAAGGAGAAGCCTCTTACACTGTTGGTGGGAATGCAAGTTGGTACAGCCACTTTGGAAAACAGTGTGGAGTTCCTCAAAAAACTAAAAATAGAGCTATCCTATGACCCAGCAATTGCATTACTGGGTATTTATCCCAAAGACATAATTGTGGTGAAAAGAAGGGCCTTATGCACCCCAATGTTCATAGCAGCAATGTCTGCAATAGCCAAACTGTGGAAAGAGCCGAGATGCCCTTCAACAGATGAATGGATAAAGAAGATGTGGTACATATATACAATGGAATATTACTCAGCCATCAGAAAGGATGAAGATCCAACTTTTACATCAACATGGATGGGACTGGAGGAGATTATGCTAAGTGAAATAAGTCAAGCAGAGAAAGTCAATTATCATATGGTTTCACTTATTTGTGGAACATAAGGAATAACATGGAGGACATTAGGAGAAGGAAGGGAAAAATGAAGGGGGGGAAATTGGAGGGGGAGATGAACCATGAGAGACTGTGAACTCCGAGAAACAAACTTAGGGTTTTAGAGGGGTGGGGGGGGATGGGTTAGCCTGATGATGGGTATTAAGGAGGGCACATATTGCATTGAGCACTGGGTGTTATACGCAAACAATGAATCATGGAACACTACATCAAAAACTAACGATGTACTGTATGGAGACTAACATAACATAATAATAATAATAAAAAAAGAAACTGATCAAATGGGGGGACTTTTTTTTTTTTTTTAATGTGGGTAGATTCCTCAGCCTCCAGCTCTGAGGACCACACGTTAATGGTGAGGTCAACTCAAACCCAGCAGGACTGTACCTTGACATTTTCCAGGCTCACATCAACAATCCCATTCCAGCCATAGAGAACTGCTATGTGGTTCAGTAACTGCCCGGTGAAAGAAATGCACCTACTGGGTTTTGGTGATATTTTTATTGTGAACTACCTGAAAACAATAAAACAAATGAATTTCAAGGAAAAAAATTTATTGATCTTTTCAAAGAATCAACTTTTGGCTTTATAAATTATCTTTATTGTTTTTCTAATTATTTTTTTCATTAAGTTCCACTCTCATCTGAATTATATTCTTCCTTCTTATAGCTCTGGTTTTAGTTTGCTCTTCTTTTTTCTAATTCCTTAAAGTGGCAGTTTAGGTTCTTGATTTAAGATCTTCTTTAATATAATAAGTTAAAGGTAAAATTTCCCTCTAAGCCCTGCTTTTTACTATATCCCATAGTTTTGGTATTCTCTGTTTTTATTTCATTCATCTCAAAGTATTTTCTAATTTCTCTTGTAATTTATTCTCTAACACATTGGTTATTTAGAAGCATACTGCATAATTTCCACATATTTGTGAATTCCCCAAATTTCCTTTTGTTATTGACTTCTAATTTCCTTCTATTATGGTCAGAGAACATAATTTGTATGTTTCCAATCCTTTTTAAAATTTTTTACTTGTTTTATGGCCTAAAATATGGTCTATCCTGATGGATGTCCCATGTGTACTTAAGAAGAATATCTATTCTATATTTGTTGGGTAGTGTTCTATACAGATCTGTTAGGTCTACTTAGTTAATAGTGTTCTTAAAGATTTCTATTTCCATTTGATTTTCTATATAGTTGTTCTATCTATTATTGAATGTAGATATTGAAATCTCCAATTCTTATTGTTGAAATGTCTAATTCTCTTTTCAGTTATGTCAGTTTTTTGCTTCATGTATTTTCAGCTCTATTTCTAGGTACATATGTTTGTAACTTTTATTTTTTCTTCCTTATGGATTGACATTTTTACCATTAAAAAAATCCTCTTTGTCTCTAGTGACACCTTTTGTGTTGAAGTATGTTTTGCCTGGTTTTAATATAGTCCTCTCCCCCCAATTCTCTTTGGTTATTATTTGCACGATGTCCCTTTTCATTTTAAAACTATTTATGTATTTTAAGTTTAAATGTGTCTCTTAGCATACAGTTGGGCTTTTAAAAAAAAATCCATTTTGTGGATTGAAGTCCTAAATGTGAGACAGGAATCCATCAAAAATGAAGGGGGAGAAATTGGAGGGGGAGACGAACCATGAGACACTATGGACTCTGAGAAACAAACTGGAAGTTCTAGTGGGAAGGGGGGGAGAGGGATGGGTTAGCCTGGTGATGGGTATTTAAAAAAAAAAAATCCTAGAGGAGAACAGAGGCAGTAACCTTCAACATTGGCTACAGCAACTTCTTGCAAGACACGTCTCCAAAGGCAAGGGAAATAAAAGCAAAAATGAACTTTTGGCACTTCATCAACATGAAAAGCTTATGAACAGCAAAGGAAACAGTCAATAAAACTGCAATCTACAGAATGGGAGAAGATATTTGCAAATGATGGTACAGATAAAGGGCTGGTATCCAAGATCTATAAAGAACTTATCAAACTTAACACCCAAAAAACAAATAATCCAATCAAGAAATGGCCAGAAGACATGAACAGACATTTCTCCAAAGAAGACATCCAAATGGCCAGTAGACACATGAAAAAATGCTCCACATCACTAGTCATCAGGGAAATACAAATCAAAACCACAATGAGATTCCACCTTACACCAGTTAGAAGGGCTAAAATTGACAAGGCAAGAAACAACAAATGTTGGCAAGGATGTGGAGAAAGGGGAACCCTCTTACACTGTTGGTGGGAATGCAAGCTGGTACAGCCACTCTGGAAAACAGTATGGAGGGTCCTCAAGAAGTTAAAAATAGAGCTACCTTATGACCCAGAAATTGCACTACTGGGTATTTACTCCAAAGACACAGATGTAGTGAAAAGAAGGGGCACATGCACCCCAATGTCCGTAGCAGCAATGTCCATAATAGCCAAACTGTGAAAGGAGCCAAGATGTTCTTCAACAGATGAATGGATAAATAGTGGTTCATATATACATTGGAATATTACTCAGCCATCAGAAAGTATGAATACCTACCATTTACATTGGAATCGATGGAACTGGAGGGTATTATGCTAAGTGAAATAAGTCAAGCAGAGAAAGACAATTATCATACGTTTTCACTCATATGTGGAATATAAGAAATAGCACAGAATTTCATAGAGGAAAGAAGGAAAAACTGAATGGGAACAAATCAGAGAGGAAGCCAAACCATGAGAGACTCTTGACTCTGGGAAACAAACTAAAGTCTGCGGAAAGGGAAGTGGGTGGGGGGGTGGGGTAACTGGGTGATGGGTATTAAGGAGGTCATGTGATATGATGAGCACTAGGTGTTATATACAACTAATGAATCATTGAATACTAAACCAAAAATTAATGATGTACTATATGTTGGCTAATTGAATTTATTTATTTATTTATTTATTTATTTTAAATTTTTAAAACTTTAATACAGTTCAAATCAGTGGGCCAGATTCACTTCAGCTCCTTCACTGCCAAACCTGGGGGCAGGGACTGCTTCAGTTTCTCTGCCTTCTCCTTGTCCATGATGACCAAGGTGTAAAGGTATCTGCTGTACCGAACTTTAAACTTCACATTATCCTTATTTTTCTTGATCTTGACAGATTTGGTGTCCTTTCGCTTGGCCGTGAGCAAAAAGTCTTTGATTTCCTCAGCTAATTGAATTTAAATTTTAAAAAAAGCAAGGCAAAAACAAATTTTGCCAATCTCTGCCTCTTAGAGTATTTAGTCCATTTACACTTAATATAATTATGATGAGGTAGGATTTACATCTGTCATTTTGCTATTTGTTTTCTATATGTTTTATGTCCTTTTTGTTCCTCTAGTCCTCCATTATTGCCTTCTTTTGTGTTAAATACATATTTGCTCATATATCATTTTAAGTTTTTGTTATATATATAAACATACTAATGTATATTTATTATTATGATACAATATATTATATATATACATATATATTTTTTAAGTTAGTCTTAGTTTTTGCCTTGGCATCTTAACCTAAAACAAACTAGATCAGATTAATACCAACTTATTTTCAATACTATACAAAAAATTTTGCTCCAATAAGCTTCATTTCTTTCCCTTTCTTCATGTGGTTTTTTTTTTTTTTTTTAAGATTTTATTTATTTGACAGAGAGAGAGACAGCGAGAGAGGGAACATAAGCAGGGGGAGTGGGAGAGGGAGAAGCAGGCTTCCCGCCAAGCAGGGAGCCCAATGTGGGGCTCGATCCCAGGACCTGGAATCATGACCTGAGCCGAAGGCAGACGCCCAACGACTGAGCCACCCAGGCGCCCCGTCTTCATGTTTTTATTGTCAGGCAAATTACATGTTTATACATTATAAGCCCATCAAAAGTTTTATAATTACTGCTTTATGCAGTGTTTTTAAAATCAGATAGGAGAAAAAATTATAAACAGAAATATATTTATATTTTCTTTTATATTTACCTATATAAATGGTAACTACACAGTTACCATTACTGGTGATCTTTGTATCTTCATGTGAATTCAAGTTATTGTCTAGTGTCCTTTTATTTCAGCCTGAAGGACTTTTTTTTAAGCATTTCTTGTAGGTCATATCTGCTAGTAACAAATTCTCAGTTTTTAATTATCTGAAAATTCATTAATTTCTCTTTATTGAAGAATAATTTTCTGGTTATAGAATTCCTAGTTGACAGTCTTTTCTTTTGACACATTGAATATGTCATCCCACTGCTTTCTGGCTTCCATAGGAGAGTCTAAACAGAAATCAGTTTTAATTATTACTGAAGATCCCTTGTACATGGTGAATTGTTTTTCTCTTGCTTCTTTCAAGATTTTCTCTTTCTTTCAATAGTTTGATTATTATGTTTTCAGATATATATCTCTTAGAGTTTTTTCTACTTGGATTAATTGAGCATCTTGAATGTGTAGATTAATGTTTTTCTCCAAATTTGAGGAATTTTTGGCAAATGTTTCTTCAAATTTCTTTTTTCCCCTTTCTTTTTCCTCTCCTTCTAGGATTCCCATTATGTGTATGTTTATAGGCTTGATATTTCTCACAGTTTTCTGAAGCTCTGTTCTTTTTTCTTCATTGTTTTTCCTTTCTGTTCCTCTAACTAGTTAATCTCACACTCGATCTATCTTCAGTTTTGCTGATTCTTTCTTCTCCTATCTCAAATGTGCTCTTGAACTCCTCTAGTGGATTTTTCATTTAGGCTATTGTTACTTTCAACTCCAGAATTTTTATTTTTAAAAATAATTTCTATTGTTATATTGATATTCTCCATTTAGAAAATATCATTTTTGGGGCACCTGGGTGGCTCAGTCGTTAAGCATCTGCCTTCAGCTCAGATCATGATCCCAGGATCCTGGGATCAAGACCCACATCGGGCTCCCTGCTCCATGGGAAGCCTGCTTCTCCCTCTCCCACGCCCCCTGCTTGTGTTCCCTTTCTGGCTGTGTCTCTCTGTCAAATAAATAAATAAAATCTTAATATATATATATAATTTTCACCCCTTACTTTTTACATGGCTTCCTTTATTTCTTTGAACTTATTTATAGTAGCTGATTTAAAATATTTAACCAGTTAGCCCAGTGTCTCAGATTCCTCAGGGACAGTTTGTACTGACTTCTTTTTTTTCTTGTATTTGGGCCATACTTTCTCATTTCTTGGCATTTCTTATTTCTTCTGTTGAAAAATGAACATTTTCTACCTAAAAATCAGATCCTTCCCCTTCCCAGAGGTTGTCATTTGATGTTTGTTTAGTAACTTTATTCTTTATTTTGTATAGCTGCTAAAGTCTCTGCTTGGTTAACTTAGTGTCCAACTAATGACTGGACAGATACTTACTTAAGTGCCTTGAATCAATGTATCTCTCAGCCTTTACCAAGAGGCTGTCTGTGTTTGTTGGGGACATAGTTTCAACACTCCAACAGTTAGTTGATAACTCTGCCTTAATTTTCACATTCTGATTGTAGTTATCCTCAAGATAAGCCAGAGGTGTGATTAGGGTCTCCTCAGAGGTGTGATTAGGGTCTTCTCATGTCTTTTCTGTGCAGGTGCACTGCCCTGCACATATGTAAGGCCTTCTAGAATCCCAGGAATATATCATAGGTTTTCAAATTCCCCTATGGGCATCTCATTCCCAAATTTTTCCTTTAAAGTTTTTTGGCTAAAAGTTTCTTGTTAGCCTCAACTGATATTGCTACCACAGGCAACTCTGATATTAAATATTTGCCATTGATTGTTTTTGACAAGTTTCCTAGGGACAGGGCTATTCACAGATAGCAGAGCTCTGCATCAGCCAAATAAAGACAAATCCTAAGACTGGAGCTTTTTATATTTTTGACATTTTTTAAGTCAAGTTTATTGTGGCTTACACACAATGAAATTGACCTTTTTAAGTATTTAGATTGATGAGTTTTGGCAATGCCTAAACTCATATAACCAACGTCACAATCAAGATATAGAACATTTCTATCACCCCCCAAAGTTTCCATTTTCCCCTTCGCAATTAATTCCCTCCCTAAACACTGGAAAACACAGTTTCTTTTTCTTTCTTTCTAGCTTTGCCTTTTTTATAATGTTATATACAGGGAATCATACAGTAGGTAGCCTTTTGTTGGATGTACATTTTTAAAAGTGCATCCCTGCTGCCTTGTGGAAAATGAATTGGAGACAGTGAAGATAGGAACCAGTAGGAATCATTAGAAAGCTATTTCCTAGTCCAGGTGAAAGATAGTGGGAACTGAGAAACATTGGTAATAGTGGAGATAGAAAATGGACTCAAAGTAATAGGAGATGAGGGACATGGAAACCCCAAAGATGACTCATAATTATCTGTGTGATTGTGACCTTTCCTGAGTTGGGGATACTTGTAGAGAAAAATATGAAGAGTTCTAATATAATCACACTGGAAACCTTTTAGGTTAAGAAAAAATCATGCTTCCTATAGCAAACTAACAAAACTTATGTACTTTAAAATGTAAACCCATTCACCCTTTCTCATGGTGCTCAGAGTTCCCCACACAAAAACCCATTTTTACAGGCACTCAAGAAAATGCCACTAGCAGGTAGCTCTACCAAGAGCTGTATATCTGTGGGCAGAGTCCTAAGGAGAGCTTTCATCTTTTCCCCTTGTACTGATAAACTGAACAGGAAACTCTTTGCCTTGCCAGTCTTCCATTTAAAACAACCTAATTAGATTGTCTTCTGGCTTTGATCAGAGAGGGTCTTCGGAGAGTTTAATGGGTCAGAATGGACTCAATTGCCAGACAAAAACCAGCATGCCAAAAATAAAGCATTAACCAAAGCCAAGAAAACTGTTGGCTGAGCCACAGGTTGGTATGGGGCTCTAGGTATTTCAAACAGCCAGGTTTGATGGAAGCAATTAGGAACAGCAGTAATTGCCTGTCAGGCAACATTGCCATTTGCTGAGGACAGAGTTGATACATTTAGACACAAAGGCTGCTGGGCCTGTGTTGTAGCCTTTCACTTTTGGAGATTGTCTTCTGGTTTCCATTACAATGAAGCTCAAGCTGCCTACCTCATTAAAATGTCAAGGTGGGAGAGAAAGGAGGTTTTGAAATAAGTCTTTCAAGGCTATTGCCATGGTTGCTTTTATTTATGGAGTAAGGTTCCTGTACACACTTATTTTACCTTTTCTTACCATTTAGTGATGAAATAACAAGTCTGTTAGCCCCATCACCAGAGAGCTGAGAAGTCAACTTTTGTTCTCTCCATGGCAGGGCTATAGTCAGGCCATGCTCTACCATCTGCTATTCTTCCTCATACCTGGAAGAATAAGTTCAGGTGCTCCAGAAGGATTTTTCTGCATAAGTCCCTTGACCAGTGACTCTCAGCCCTTCATAGGGCTTTAAATACTTACTTCCATTACTAAAAGTGTGGCAATTTGGAATTCCCCTTTCTCTCTTTTCATTCAGAAATACCCCATCACAAGCAGCTGTTCTTGAATCAGATTATTTGATCCCAAATTCAGGGTAAAGGAAAAAAACAAAAAGAGTGCCCATCATCAGGGCTAGAGAGGATTTTTTTTTTTTAAAGATTTTTATTTATTTATTTGAGAGAGAGAGAGAGAGCATGAGAGGAGGGAGGGTCAGAGGGAGAAGGAGACTCTCTGTTGAGCAGGGAGCCTGATGTGGGACCTGATCCTGGCACTGCGGAACTTGATCCTGGGACTCCAGGATCATGACCTGAGCTGAAGGCAATTGCTTAACCAACTGAGCCACCCAGGAGCCCCAGGGCTAGAGAGGATTGTAATAATACATGTAATGTGTCTATAGGGAAATATAGGTTCACTAGTAAGGAGATAGGTTCTTGAGCTCCCTAGAGAATAGCAAAATAATCCAGGCACATTCACAAGCAGTATAAGCATTGCCTCCTTACTTTAGAGGATATGATGAAAACAGAAATGCTGATCTGGAAGCCCAGAGACCTGGGTGTTATCATATTATTTGTCTTTCACAAGCTGTATACTCTAGAGCATGATTTAAACTTTGTTTTATTTAGAGCTGTATGCATAGGGCCTAGAAGAGTACCTGGCACACAATAGGCTCTTGACAAAAAATTGCTGATTAAACTTTCTGAAACTCAGAATACTGGTCAGAAATATGGGGATTGTATTAGTTTCCTAAGGTTTTCATTACAAAGTACCACAAACTAGGTGGTCTAAAACAACAGAAATTTATTCTGTCACATTTGTGGAGTCTAGAAATCCAGTATAAGGGAATCAACCCTCTGAAATTCATAGGTGAGAATTCCTCCTGTGTTTTCCCTTCTGGTGGTGGCTGTCAATCTTTGGCATTCCTTGGCTTACAGCTCCATCACTCTAATCTCCGCCTCTGTTGTCACATGGTATTCTCTCTGTGGGTTTCTTTCTCCTTTTCTTATTAGTATACCAGTCCTACTGGGTTAAGGGTCCACCTATTCGTGTATGATCTCATCTTAACTACATCTGCATCACTCTCTATCTAAATAGGTTCACATTCTGAGGTACTGGGGGCTAGGACTTCAACACATCTTTTTGGAGGACACAATTCAACTCATAACAGGGATACTTCCACCTGTATAATCCAGCTTATCATTTTTTATGAGGACTCAGTAGGATAATGTCTTTAGACATAACGTCTTTACAGAAAAAGTCTTTAGAAATGACATATTCACATGCCTGGAAGAGTTTCTCACCCTTGCCATTTACTAAGAGGATTTGGTAACATTTCATAATACTTGAATTGTCAACATTAATACTTACTAGGACTTTATAATTTATTAATCCAAATTACATACATTATCCCACTTTAGCCTGTGAGATGGACAGGCAAGTGCTATCATCCCCAATCTAGAGGTGAAAAAACAGAGTGAAATATTAAATTAAGTGACACAATCAAAGGCACACAGTCTAACAATGGAATATCTGGTACTAAATTTCAGGATGTCACACTCCTGGTTGTGATTCTTTCTAGTTCACCATGATGCTGAGATGACGATTTCTCCTTGGAGCTTTCATCTTCTCATCATCAGGTGGCACGTTGCAGAGACCAGAGTCCATCTCCTGATCCACTGAGACTTGCCAGTGCTATGAAACCTCTGTTCAATTGGATTTAACTCCCTGTACTGTGGTGTGGAAATACAAGGCAGGATAAAAGAGAAGGGTGCAGTAAAAATGGATGAGGGTAAGGAGTAATTATAATGAGTAGGTGAACTCACAACTCAGCGAACAAGGCATGAATTAAGTGTGGTGTATAGGATAATTAGTAGTCATTTAGTGCAATAAAATTACTACCAGCTGTTCAAAACTCAAGACTGAGGGGCTGATCTGTAAATGGTTATCTGAATAAGCAGGCAAACAGATTCAAAATGAAGCTGTGCCCTAGAGCCTAAAGGCTATGTTTTATTGTCCAGAGATGGCATTGCCTTGAGACGAACCCATTATACTCATTAACTGCTGTTACACAAATTTCTTGAGTTTACCAAAAGCTCCTAGAGAACACTGGGTCATGGATCTGTGGATAATCAGACCTACAAAGATGTAAATGGGAATGTCAGAGTTCTAAAACCCTAAGACTGCTCCCCATATGGATCTCCCACTTTCTGTGGCTCAGTCAGCAAACAGTCTTATCCATTAGAAATGCCCATTTCCTCATTAAATCCCCCTATCCACCTCTAAATATACTAACTTAAGCACTACTCCAAAAAGTCTGATATCTTTCTTTTTCAATTTAGCACCCAAATACAGCAGAGATACCCTAAACCTTCAGAACAACAATAACAACAACAACAACAACAACAACAACAACAACAACAAAACATAGGCAGAAAATGTACAAGATAACCCTGGAATGTCTTACCACACCCAAAAGCGGAACACTGTCAAAGACTATAGGAGTTAAATCAGAAGGTCAAGAATTAGCTCAAAAAGGCTTCCACTGACTAAAATGGGGCAATTCAAGCACTGACATGAATATCATACCAAGGAAGTAAAAAAACTTCCAATATATTAAAATCCATGAGTTCATAAGGTACTAAAAACAATACTCAATGTCCTCTTTGGAGCTTGCTGAGGAACCACATTACTCTGGAAACTGGTAAATAAATGAAAGAATCAAGGCATTAGCCTGATTTCCTGTAGGATCTATTCCTTAGATAAGGGTTGATGAGGAAAAGTTTTTTCTTTATAGAAGGGTTCCCAGGAATAAATGAAGGAAAAATGCTATTATCCTTTTGTAAACCCCCAACTAAATAATGGATCAAGATCAATGATGGCAACTTAACAACACAAAAAGACAGACAATGAGATGTTATGCTCCTCCTGATAAAAGTACATATCACTACCTATAAAGGATCCTTGTAAAAAGTCATGTCAGATGAAGCCGCTAGATCTAATTACCAATTTACAGGAAATGCAGAAAACTAAGAAACATGTCATTTGATACTATGGATATGCAATCAGAAAAATCCAGAATGTGGGAAATTCCATAGGACAAAGTATTTAGTTTCTTCAACAAATAAATTATAGGGAGAAAAAAAATGAAGGAAGGGGAACTGTGATTGACTGAACTGTTGGCCTCCATTATTCACCCTTTTCTACATCTACACCCATGGCATGGCTGCACTGTGGAAGAAGTGTACTTCCCTGCCATTGACCCTGGGCTTAGCAATGAAAGTTGCTTGAAAAATAGAATGTAGCAGAAGTGACAGTGCAGAGCTCTGAGCTAAAGCCTTAAGAGGTCTCTTGGGTTTTCACTCACCCTCTTGTACTCCTGCTCTTGTCTTGGGAAGAACTTTCTTTGGGAAACTGTTGATTCTTCAGCTTAAACAGTAAGAATATCAATAGCAATAACAATGGGTTGAAGACAGGAAGCTACAACCTGATATTCTAGACAAGATGTACAACCTCAAGAAAGGGACAGCATCCTCCCCACCCAATCACCCCCCATGATCTGCCACCACCACCACCATCACCACAATCATGACTACATTAAAATTTCCTGACTTCTCTGCAGGTAGAGTGAAACCAGAGGAAGCTGATTTAAGAACAAGAAATAAAGAGTGAAGTATCTAATTCAAATCCATTATAAATTAATTTTAGTTCCCAATCTTTAGTAGCTTGAGTACCAAAGACAGTAAAATACATCAACTGGCCACTGTAACAGAATCCTTTACTCTTGTGGCAGAAAGAAAGAATGTGTCATCACCATCACCATGTTAAAATATTTATGTGGGATGTTTCTGGGTAGAGAATTGAGCATGTAAATGAACAGAGATGAACGCTCCTTACAAGCAGATGTCCTGCAAGAAGAATGACTGCTTTTCTGACTTGGTCCCTAATTCAGATTCCCAGTCTGGACTCCTTCCCTGTAGGAAGTCCCAAGGAAGCATGCTGGTCCATGTCATCAACTTGGTAGGACCCTGATATCCAAATGTTGGGATTTGGGGTATGGGGATTAAATATGCTTTCACCAAAAAAAGTCAGAAGATTTGCTTAACTGAACCTTTTAACTTTAAAGAGCAGAATTTACTGTGGAAGATTTGCAGCCTAGAGCAATGCAAGAAACATGTGAAAAGATGTTCTGCTGTAGGTCTTCACTTGCCAGAAAAAAACAACCGGAGAAACTCTAAAGAACAGGGCCATACTCAGCCCTCAGCATAGTTCATAAACTCAAATCATCAACCTAAGAAGTCCCAGAACCACTTCAATTAGCAGTCATTCCCAAAGTTGCAAGTATGTGATGATCTCTACCATCCCAGGAACTTTAGAGCTTACAAACTATGAAAGATCATAATTTCCAAAAATGGCTACAGCAGTATTTCTGTCCCACATGCTCTTTCAGAACCTTGTGGAATCTATTTTCCCTTCCCTTGAAACTGGGTAATACTTTGTAACAAATTTGATGAACACAGTGCAGAAGTGATATTCTGTGACTTCTGAGGCTAAATTATAAAAGGCTATCTTTCTCAAGATGTTTTTGCATGGAATCAGTTGTCAGGCTGCAAGGAAACCCAATCAAATCAGTGTGGAGGTCCACAAGGAGAGTTACTGAGGCCACAAGCCAACAACCAGTACCAACCACTGAACATGAAGTAAATAAACCTTCAGATGATTGATTCTAGCCTCCACCCTACAAGGCTTCCAGCTGAGACCCTGGAATTCCTGGAGCAGAGCAAGTTATCCCTTTTCTGCCCTTTTTGAATTCCCAATCCACTGAATCTACAAGAAAGCAGAGTTAGTAAGGAAACTCAGCCTCTGAATCTCAAGAATCCCAAGGGCCAAAGCCCCAGTGCTCTGGTACCCCTCTACTTGTTTCCCCTTCATAGTCATTTTGGCCTCAGCAATGTGTGAATAAAATAACCAGAGGAGTTAGCCTTGGTTGAAAAAAGACTGGTTGATTTTTCAAGGATTTTGAGGTCACGCGTTTTTGAGTGAGATGTTGCCTCTTTAGAAGAAAGTACTTAAGGGGACATAAACTGGGATAGTCGACTACAATGGCAGCGGGAAATCAGGGCCACACAGCATAGGAAGAGCCTCCTTAAAAAAAGGATACACAACAGTGGAATGAAAGACAATTATCATATGGTTTCACTCATATGTGGAACATAAGGAATAGCATGGAGGACCACAGGGGAAGGAAGAGAAAACTGAATGAGAAGAAATCAAAGAGGGAGACAAATCATGAGAGACTCTGGACTCTGGGAAACAAACCAAGGGTTACAGAAGGGAGGGTGGGTAGGGGGATGGGGTAACCGGGTGATGGGTTTTAAGGAGGGCACGTGTTGTGATGAGCACTAGGTGTTATACGCAACTAATGAATCAGTTGAACACTACATCAAAAACTACTGATGTACTATCTGTTGGCTAAATGAACATAATAAAAAATAAAATTAAAAAATGAAATCACATTTTGAAAATCTAAAAAAATAAATGGTGGAATTAAAAAATAAATAAATAAATAACAGTCACAAGAGTAAAAAAAAAAAAAAGAAAAGAAAGAGAATAGAGTAAAAAGAACCAGACATCCACTTGAGAAATGTCCATAAGTAATCTAATAAAGTGTTTAAAATTCTTTTTTTTTTTTAAAGATTTTATTTATTTATTTGAGACAGAGAGCACATGAGAGGGGGAAGGGTCAGAGGGAGAAGCAGGCTCCCTGCCGAGCAGGGAGCCCGATGCGGGACTTGATCCCGGGACTCCAGGATCATGACCTGAGCCGAAGGCAGTCACTTAACCAACTGAGCCACCCAGGCGCCCAAGTGTTTAAAATTCTAAACGTTTGGATCCCCAAGAAGAATAAAGCAACTCAAAAATAAGTTGTTTTTCTTAAGAACTATTGTGCGCCATAAACTTCCTCTTATATTAAGTCAATTTAACTTTGCAAAAACTCTGTCATGTATTTACCTTTTGTGTCACCTTTTTCTCTTTTTATTTTTACTATTATAAAAGACTTAGTTTCTTTTTCATTATTTAAATTCAATTAGCTAAATTTTATACATAATTAGTTTCAGGTGTAGAGTTCAGTAATTCATCAGTTGCATAGAACACCCAGTGCTCATCTCATCACATGCCCCCTGGTTCTTAGGGCTTCAAATTCAAACTGGAATTATACCACTGGCTTTCTGGGTCTCCAGCTTTGCAGATGGCAGAATGTGGGACTTCTTTTTTTTTTTTTTTGACTTTTTTTTATTCTTATGTTAATCCCCATACATTACATCATTAGTTTTAGATGAAGTGTTCCATGATTCATTGTTTGTGCATAACACCCAGTGCTCCATGCAGAATGTGCCCTCCTCAATACCCATCACCAGGCCAACCCATCCTCCCACCCCCCTCCCCTCTAGAACCCTCAGTTTGTTTTTCAGAGTCCATCGTCTCTCATGGTTCATCTACCCCTCCGATTTCCCCCGCTTCATTCTTCCCCTCCTGCTACCTTCTTCTTCTTCTTTTTTTTTTTCTTAACATATATTGCATTATTTGTTTCAGAGGTACAGATCTGAGATTCAACAGTCTTGCACAATTCACAGCGCTTACCAGAGCACATACCCTCCCCAGTGTCT